TGGTTTATTTGTCCTATAGCATGAAACTTTTCAGCCTAGTTTTCTCTAGAAAAAAGCAGTGAGGCTATTTAACAAAGTGAACAAGAAAATAACAGAAATATATTGAACTGTCTACAGGTTTTGACTCATTTTTCTCTTTTACAGTCTCCCACCAAAGGAACCCTAGTTACTTACCTTCTTCTTCTGTTTGTCTCTATTGAATATTTCTGTGCCCTACTCCGACATATTTTTTGATCTTCTTTCAATGCCTGGCGTTCTTCTGCTAAATCTTGCTCAAAATGAAATGTTAAAGCTCTATCCCTAGTATTGTGTTAAGGACAATGGAAACTGCATCAAACAGCTCATCAAAGGATGCAGCAGCCTGATTGACTGACTTTGCATACTGTTTGGGAAAGGACAAACTTTATGTATGAGATACAAAATACACAACAGTTGATCCCATAATTGTATATTATAGTCATAACTAACTTTGTGTTCATCCACAAAAATAAAAGTCATTACATTTTACTGTTTACAGTGATTTTAAAAGGCTTTGCAATCATCTTTCATGGTATCAGGAGATGAAAAATCTCACCTTTATTATGCTTATTTGAACAAGCATCTTTCTTTTATCTAAATCCATAACATATGGATACATGTGTCACAGTGAAAATGTTTCAATAGTAAAAACAGCTCCTCCCTACCTAAAGGATTAGTTTACTCTGACATTCATTAATATCACTGGATAAATGCTCTCCACAGAGCATGATCTGTCCTGTCTTACTTCGGTTATAACTGAAGTAGCATGGTACAGGTGGAGCTTAGAACTTTGTCAGTATTTCTTATTACTTAAAATTCAATGAAATAAGGATCCGTAAGTTGGAGTGGAAAACACAATTCCCAAAGGCAGAATCTCCTCATGGAGTCATTGAATGGTTTGGTTTAGAAGTGAAAGTAAAGTTCATTCAGTTCCAGCCCTCTTGCCACGGGCAGGGACACCTTCCACTACATCAGTTTGCCCAAAGCCCCATCCAACCTGGCTTTGAACACTGACAGGGATGGGGCGGCCACAGCTTCTCTGGGCAAGCTGTGCCAGTGTCTCATCACCCTCACAGTAAAGAATTTATTCCTAAATGTCTAAATCTCCCCTCTGTCAGTTTAAATGCATGTCCCCTTGTCCTGTAAACTGTCCCTCTCCAGCTTTCTTGTCGGCCCCTTTAGGTACTGGAAGCTGCAATAAGCCTCCCCAGAGCCTTCTCTTTCCAGGCTGAACAAGCCCAGCTCCCTCAACCTGTTCCAAGAGGGAACATAAGAAAAGTCGCCTGAGAAGTCAACTTCCCTACAGCACTTTAAGAAACCAACGTGCCAGTTTTATTTCGATCCACCCCTAAAGCAAGCCCTCGCCACCGCCCCAAACCCGCCGCCCCCCCCCCCCCTCGGACTCCAGGCTGCCCGCGGCCTAATTCCTGCCCGTGCCGGAATCTCTCCGCGGGCCGCCCCCAGCCATCCCCGACCGCCCGCCCAGCCCTTGCCTCGGCGGCGACCGCGGAAGGATACACGGCAGCAGCGCGCCACGTCCCACCCGCGCTGTCCTGGAGTCCTCCGAGGGGTATTTGCCTCTGCGCCGCCCCGCCGCCCGTCCCGCCGGGCTCCATTCAGCGCCTCGGGCTTGCTGCCTCACACCGCAGCTGGCCGCGTCCAGAGCCGGACGCCTTCCCGGTGCCATAGCAACCGGAGACGCCGCTTCCTTCGCAACGGGGCGGGGCCGCGGCCGAGGGGAGGCGGGAAACGGGTGAGGGAGTGTAGGGAAGGGCTGAGGGGAGGCCGGGAGTGACTGCGGTTCGCCTGGAGCTCCCGTTACAAGCCGTTACCCGAATCGGGCGCGAGGTTCAGGGCCGTTGGGGCTCCCCGGAAGGGAGCGCTCCCGGCGGGGCCGGGCCTCGCGGTGCCCGGGGGTGCCCGGCCCTGGATGGAAACCGCGCGCACGCATCTCTCTCCGCCGCCGGCACCCTCTGTGTCTGTCGCCTCTTCAGGCACGCCACTGAGGGACCCCTCGCCAGGCTTCCCATCCTGTCTGCACTTGTATAAACAACGGAGTGCCTTTTAAAACTAACAAACAAACCAGCCGGTATCAAAACAAATAACGTTTCCCGTTAGTTTTGCAGGGTTTTGGTGTTTTTTCTTTTTTTTTTTTTTTTTAAACACAGGGTGTAGAAATATCAATGAAAAAAAAATAGAAAAATATAAAAAGTATATAAAAAAGTAAATAAAATTACACAAAGTAAAAAAAAAAAAAGTTTTTAAGACTGCAAAACGTGTGTTTTTTTTTCCAGGCAAAGCAGGGTGTGTTGTCTTGGGATGTTCATGCCTTGGATGAGCTGTCAGCAGAAGTCTAAATGCCTCGGTGATTTCATGGTGAGACATTTCTTGGCTGTTGTATTTGAGCTTAAACCAATTCTTCTCTTTTTCAGTGTGCAGCTGTTCTATGTCTTTGACTAGGAGGTTAAAAATAGTACTCAGCATTTGTAAAATACTTTTCCCCACAGACTCCCACCTCCGTATTTGTAGCACAGCCTGTGAAGTGTTACTATTGCCATTTTACAGGCAAACCCACTGATGCTCACATTGACAAATGTGCTTAATTTATATTAATACATAATTTATGTTATTTATATTTTTATATTTATATTATATATATTTATTTATATATTTATATTATAAATAATACCCCAGTTACCACAGTTGAGAAGATGACCCTAAAATGACAGTTTTCCACCTGTATTCAGAATAATAATTCAGAATAATTTTGTAAGGAGGAAATTCTTTCCTGTTAGGGTGGTGAGGCACTGGAATAGGTTGCCCAGGGAGGTTGTGAATGCTCCATCCCTGGCAGTGGTCAAGACCAGGTTGGACGAAGCCTTGGGTGAGATGGTTTAGCGTGAGGTGTCCCTGCCCATGGCAGAGGGGTTGGAATTAGATGATCTTAAGGTCCTTTCCAACCCTAACTATTCTATGATTCTAATACCAGGCACAAATTCACCACCTCTTTGCCCAATCTGAACTCTTCTGTGTTGCAGGTGTAAGACTGTTTGTCACTTCACTACCTTTCAATCCACATACACTTTAAAAATCCCAGTTTGCCTGAAAAAAATGCAGTGCTTCATTTAGGAAGCAGCAGAAGTTTTTACCAGTGTGGAGTCACGCCAACAGGACTGAAGCAGAGCTTAGAAACAGTTCCAGAACTTGAGCCTATGTCACATCTGGGAAGATTCAGGTTTATAGAATCATAGAATCAAAGGTTGGAAAAGACCTTTAAGATCATCAAGTCCAACCATTACCCCAGGACTGCCAAGTCCACCTCTAAACCATGTCACTGAGAGCATCTACAGTGATGTAGATGTAGTGTACAGTTTCTGAATGCTTCCAGGGACGGTGATTCCACCACTTCCCTGGGAAGCCTGTTCCAATACTTGTGGCAGCTCACATCAGCAGAATTTGAGCTTCTCTAGACTTACTGCAAATTTTGATCTTATCCAGTGCAACTCACAGCTTCACCTTAGATACCTTCTGAAATTCAGAATTAAGGATAGTGTGTATATATATATATACACACACCTTTCTGTCTTTCTTGTTTTTACCTTTTTCTTACTTGTTCATAGCCCTCCTTTGGTTATTAGATAATTCCTCCTGGTGAGTAACCTCACATCTTTCAGACTGGGGGATGAAAAGGTGACAAGCTGAGGACCATGTATTTCAGAACTGTATGATTATTCTGGGACAGCACACATCCTGGTATCAAATGGTTACAAAATGGAAGGTCCCACTCTGGCAGCTGGTTTGAAAACAGTTTCATAATTTTTACTGTGGGCTAGAGACTGATATTCCAGTCAAGGATAAAGATCAGCTCTCAAATCCTTGTGGGATAGATTCTGAATTTATTACAGAACTTAACTGAAGGCTGGAGCATAGTTATGCTGCTGCAGAAACACATTTTTCTGTCTTCTTTTTCCACCGGGGGATTAATCTGCTAATGCCCTTTAGCTTTCTTCCAAGCTTCAGTTTAACTGTGTAGATGACTGCATGGGAGAGGGAGGTCAGTCCATGTTCTGACCACTTTAACCGTTCGTTCCTGAAATTTGTCACCTCTTCTGATTTCTGTGCAGATAAAGAGGAATGAAAACTGTTCTTTCCCCTTTAATGTCATATATGAGTAGCCAATAAAATCTTTTCAGCTTCTTTCTGAGACTGAACTGTAGATCACAACCTGCATCTTCTTGAGAGAACGTCAACTGATGCACTAGTTAAATTCTAGTAATCCTTATATCAGAAGAGCTATGATGTGCCATGAGGTATGTCAGAACAAGTTAAAAAATATTTTGAGATATTTTGAAGAACCTAAGTTCTTAAAAATTTCACAGACAGTCGAACATGCTCCTCTCAGGGAGAGGCCAGGTACTGGTGCTTAGTCGGCTTCAGCTGTTAAGTGAAAGAAAACATTGTATTAAAAACTGGATTTAAAACTGTATTAATCCCTGCCCCCCATTTGCTTTCAAATCTGTTTGTATCACAAGCTATTTCCAGTGTATTCCAGCTTCAGACAGGGCTGGAGATGAACCTCAGTATCAAGACCAATTTGGAACATTGTCTGGCTAAACCAGTGCAAGGTGATGTTCAGCAGTATATTCTGATGGAGTATCTCCAGCGGTACATTAGAAGATGAAGTTTCATTTATTCAGCCAGATTACAAGCAATTTAAATTCTCTGATGTGCACGAGGAGTTGAAAATCTGTTGGACCTTTATGAACTTTCCAAATTAACTTTCCAAGTAACTTGCTTTTTGGTTAAAATATCAGACCCAGTTTTAAAGATACAAAAAGAGTGTATTTAAGTGTATGAAAACCGTAATTGCCTCATAGCTTTAATTAAGTTTCTGTGGACTACATTTAATTTTCTTCTTTTTCAGCACATTCTCTTATACTTCGACATTCTTCAGGTATTTGAATGATTGTCTCACTTACAGTCCCTGTGTTACTACAGGTGGGCTACTAGTGAGACCAAGAGACTGCTTTTGTTCTCCTGGTAAACAGGTTTCTATGTAGTACAAAGTATTGCTTTAAAGTAATATTTTTCAATTTTCTATTTGAATCTGCTTTTAGAACTTATTCTAAAATTGCCTCCACCGCCTGTTCTAGTGCACTACCATCACACCAATATAAACACCTTCATTTTAATGCTAAAAACCTTTGCGAAAGGTGAAAACATTGATCCATACTAGTTTTTCTTTCAATTAGGCCAGACTACTCAGTGCCAAATATATACCAATGCTCAAAAATAGTGCATAAGAAAATCTGTCAGTTTTATCACAATGAAAATACATATGTTTGATGTGTCATGTAGAGGTTATAAGCAGTAATTGGTCTCAGGATACAAGCAGTAGTGTATAAAATCTACTGTGCAATTGAAACATGCTTTATTAAATCCAGGAATTAAAGGAGTGTTGGCTGCGCTTTGTGCGGCAGACATTCCCAAATAGTTAGCTCAGGACTTCATAGTGTACAATCCTTTCCACGGAAATTTGAAACCCTTCAAAACGTTTGCATTTCTTCAAGTAAAAGATGAACTGCTTTGGGGTAACTTCACTGATTTGTCTCCATATTTGTTTGCTCAGTTTAGGAGAGACTGTCATAAGTAATGGCAAGCCTTGTTCATCTAAGGTAAGATTTTCAATTCCTTTGCTTAAATAAGATAATGAATGTAACTGGATGATTTCTCAGAAAAGCGACAGATGTTTTGAAACTCTATATTGCTTTATTCAGAGTAGACAGGAAAACACAGAACAATCAGATATTTCCAGACAGAGAAAAGAAACTACATTCAAACTGTACGAAATCAGTTAGAATTAGAGCAGTTTTGTGTTAATTACTTTCATCACAGCCCTGTTGTTAGGCCATATTTTTAATCTCATCTGCATGAACAAATGCAGAATAACTATTGTTTTTGGCAGAGTCGCAGTTTTTGCTTGAATTGCTGAGGTCAGCTTTAATAGCCTGTTTCATGTTGGCTTTATTAAAAGTAAATATTGATTGAAAATATTTTCTTGACAGCATTTAATTGAACATGTAGTGAGGAGCTGTGATAAAGCCCTGGAACAAAGCAGAGTTCTGAGTGATCTGTTTATAAGCTTCAAGTCAATTTTTCTTCCTTTATTCTGTGCTTATTTCAAAATTAAAGAAACATGTTCTTTTAGTTCTCTATTGTTTATCTCCAGTCCCAAACTGTAATCATATTAATAATTCAGAAACTTTTTTTAATATAAAATCTCCTTGTTAACAGTTTTATCTAATTTCTACTTACAGTTTGTAAAAGCAAGTCAGAAAAAAAACCTGTTCAGTGCTTTGCCAGTGTACTGCAAAAGCCAGAAAGAGAAACCTGAAGCAGTAAAGGAGAACAAGTGTTTTGAAGATGTATTCAAGTCTAAATGAGTTTTCTTTTTCATTAAAATCTTCATGTTTCTAAGGATCCTATTTACACTTGAAAATACAGTATATTAACATACTACAATGCTTTGCTGAGATTATGGAATCAACAAAGGCTCAAATGAATTTCTTAGTCTTTTGACAATGACACATATTTAGGAATTACTTTTAGCATTTCTGTAAGTGATGAGTCAGAGGCATTCCCATATCTTCTCTCACACAGCACCAGAAAAGAAAAAATATATTAAGTATGAAAATATTATTTTAAAAGAACATTAATATATGTAACTTCTTTTACCAATGTTTTTATTGTTTATAATTGTGTGCCTGCAAATAGTGTCCCTTTATTCTTTCCTCCATAAGAGCATTTAAAATATTTTTTTAATGTTAAGTCCCAAATCTGCTTGGGACTGTTTGTGTGCATAGATTAATACCTTATGCAAGTATTTCCATGATCAGAATCCAAGTAATTAATTTAGGGACTTTCAAGAGTAAAAATGTTTTGCTAATATGTGGTAAATCCAAGAGACTGCTCCTTTCCAGTGAAAATAACTTTGTTAGTATTTGAGATGTCTGTTTGATGTGGTGATTCCTAAAACGTGAGTTCTTAAATGCAAGATTTACAAGTTATTGCCTCATTTCACAGAGCTCTGGTAGAATACCAAACACGTTGTTGGTATTTTTCAAATTTATAGAGGTTATTCTTTACTCTGACACTCTTTCTTTAGTGTGGGATGGCTAAGCAGAAGACACCTAACAGGCCTTGGTCTCAGCTCTGTCAGTTATAACTTGATAAAGCTTGCAAAACCCCAGGTTTTGAAGGAAGACCCATGGAGTAATCATCTACTTCATTTTGGCAGCCTGAGACATTTTATATATGCTTTATGATCAATTTATTTCCCCCTCCATTGTTTGGTACAACAGGGCACAAGGAATGTTGGAGCTGTGGAGGAACCACTCAAGGCAGAAGAGAAAAATAAATCTGCAGATATTTCAAAACAAAAAGACCAATGCCTTGTACCATGTGATGTTCAAGCTAAAATTTTACGAGGGGAAAAACATTACATGTGCAGTATGTATTCATAAAGAATACTCTCAGCAACAAGCTATGCAATGCCATGCTATGCAACCCTCTGCTCTGCTCTGCTATGCTGTGCCAACTTATTTTTTAATCTTCTTGAGCACATGTGACAGTCCTTGATGCTGCTGCCTAGGCTGAGGATTCAGAAAATTTGGGGTGCTGTGTTTCTGGGATGCAGCTGGTGCAAGAAAGCTGAAGTATAATCATGCTAGTCTCTATAATCACTGATCAAGACAGGCAAATCCAGGCAGCAGCTCCACCTGCCTAGATCTGTGTTACTCTCTGAATGTTAGTAGCTCTCTCCATTAAAGAAGAGTAGGGTGTCTGTCCATCATTTAAACATCATAGTTAGCTGTGAGGGAGTTAAGTGAGAGTTATTTAGTTTAGTTAGTAAGTCAGTTAAACTGGGAGGAAATCTATACTTCAGCTTGCCTTTTGTAGATACTGATGCAGGACATCCTCTACTCACTGCCTTGACAAACTACACAGCAAAGGATGTAATCAGCCTCAGAAAAAAAGAAAAAAATCAAAATCATTGTATTTCCTATATGATTTTTAATATATTTTGTTAATTACCTGTCAGGTTTGCTTGGTTTTTGTTTTGATTTTTAGCATCATGACAAAAACCAGGAGTGAAAGCGTAAATGTAGGATGACAGAATGTCTTATATATTTGTCTTTTATCATTTGCATTTGTATTTCTCTGCTATCCATTAACTGCTCATCCAAGTTGCCCAAGGATAAGATTAAATTCTTCAAATCTAAAGAAGAGCATCACTTCTTAAAATGTCTTCCCTGCAACCAGTGAAGCTGAGGTTTTTAGCATCTTTGGCTTTAATCTGTGGTCTCTGTACTGTGGTTTCACTTTTAAGTATGCTGAGGTTAAACACCTTCAATATTCGCTTAGATACCATAAATGTGTCATTGTTCAGTCAAGAATATTTCTAGATTTATGGTAACAAAGCGGATGAACATATTTCTTTTAAAGGAAATTTGCAGAACTCACTTGTTGAATATGCAAGAAGCACAAAAAAAATGGTAAGGAACATGATGGATGATCAACAGTCTTCTTTGGACTACCTTTCTAATCAGGTACTTTTTATCATAAAGATTTTTATTTATTACTTATCACTGCAGGTATTATCTAACTGAGGAAATTTAAGCATTTATATTGTCATTAAAACAGTAGAATTAGAGTCTCTACCAACATTCCTTATATCTTGGGTAGGGTGTGGGTTTCATTTCTACGGGGAGTGATAAGCACCACTTGATCCACATTGGTGGCTAACTCCAGTTCTGTCATATTTGTTCAGATGATGTATTATGTTACTGTTAACTCTCATAGTAGTTTACAAACACTGTGTATCCCTTACTACAGATAAAAAGCCTTATTCAAACTGAAGGACTTCTTTGCAGTTATCTGGCATTGCAAATCATCCTAAAAATGATTTTTGATTAAAAAAAAAAATTATTTTTTTTTTTGATCAAAAAAAGACCGTTGTACCTAATGAAGGGCAAATCACTAGCACATCACAAAAATGAATTTTGGATTATATTTACTAGGAGTAAAAAAGAATATCTTTAAGAATGTAAAAATCCTCATTGCAACCAAAGTAAAGATTTTCTATTTGTATTTGCAGGTAAATGAAGTCATGAACAGACTTCTTCTTTTGAATGCAGAAGTTTTGAGAAAGCATTTGGATCCACTTCCTTACAAAGCAGTTCAGTCTCATGGTAGGTATATTTTGCATTTAGTCTAGGTCTCTTGCTTTTTTATCTTTATATCTTGACAGAGCGCTAATTAAAGCAAAGGGAAGCAATTATAACATTTACAGTATTCTGTGTTCATAACATATAAACCCTGGAAAATTTGTAATCTGTTTAAGAATGTCATCATAAAGACTGCTTTAAATCATTTACAACTGATAATTCTGGGCATACTGTTTAGCATACCAGGTATGACCATCAGTTCATAAATGATCAGATGTTGCTAAATAGCACTTTCTTTTGCAATGAAGTGTGCTCTGCATTTGTAATTTCCTTTAAATATGATCAAAGTTACTTGAACACGGGACAGTTACTTCTCATCATCGTGTCCATCCCAGCTAAAGGAAACATTACCTCTGAGCAGTCCCACTGGCCATAGGAACTGCTTGTTTGAGTATGTTTAACACAGACCTGGCTTAACACTTAAAAGCAAGGGGTTTATAATGTATACATTATGATGTAGAGGCTTTTACAAATATAAATACATATATCTGCAGGAAAAGACATCCTTTCCCAGATAATATGCCCTTTTCTCAGTAACATGTGTTACCCAAATAAGATCTGTAAAATGACCCAGATGCAAAATCTTTAATTTCTGTATCATTTCCATTAAAGTTAGAATGAACTCCCTTATTTTCAATATAATTTATATTTCCTTCTGGGCTTAATGGAGTTCAGAGAAATTTCATTTACAACGTAAATTTGTGAGAAAACATGATTTTAAAGTTTGCATGGCAAGAAAATGCTATTTGAAATGATTCACGTATTACCAAGAAAGTACTTTTTCTGTGTTTAACTTGAATTTGTTTGTGGGTTTTTTTTGTTTGTTTTTGTTTGTGTTTTTGTTTAACATATTATGCTAATGAGCTTCGTCAAATACTTTGTTCTCTAGGCTTGGATTGCACTGATATCAAAGATACTGTTGGTTCAGTTTCAAAAACTCCAACTGGTCTGTACATTATCCATCCAGAAGGATCAAATTTTCCTTTTGAGGTAATAAATTAATCTCTCAGGATAGTCACAGTTTGCTTAAGAATAGGCACTTAGAATATATTTAATAGATTTAAAGTCTTTTCCTTGACAATTTCTCAGCAGATATGTATGAAATCATCTAAATGTGTCTGCTATTACTATAATTTTGATCAGTTTCTTGTTTTCTACAAAGAAATTTAATTTCATTCATAAGATCCCATCATCAGATTTTATATACAGTGAAAAATGTACCAAAAAGGAAAAAACAAGGTATTTCCTGGGAATTTCCCAGCACCCCTTGGACATTGAGGAGCGTTGTTCTTTTCTGGTTTAGAGATGGAAAATTAAGGAGCCAAGTGACTGCTCCATCTGGCACCTAAAATGGGACCGTTGGCTTTCTGAATTATTCTGCTGACTGTATAGCATTGCCTTCTCTTGAGAAGTGACTCTACTGATGCCTATAGCTTGGACCATGATATTGTATATGCACCTACATATAGGGGCAGATGTACATTAGTTTGAGGAGCAGGTGCTTATCACTTGTCTGAGCATCATTATAACTCAAGACTTGAGGCAGAGAAATATCTTTCAGTTTTCAAATCCAGTTTTCAGGATATACATTCTTAAGACAAAGATAAAAGGATGAAGTTCAGCATGAACTGCAGCAGTCATGCTTCCTATCACCACCTGCATTTTCCGTAATTGCTTGGAGTTATAGTGCTTATTTAGGATAAAAGAGTTTTTGGTTAACTTCCCCAGACTCGGGCCACTCAGATCCATGCAAACACAATCCTTTGTTTTGTCTGTTTCTTTCCATTTTGGGCTGTTCTACTTAGAGAAGCCCTTTATGCACAGTGGAAAGGCAGAGTGCACTTTCAAACCTTTAATTTCACAACACATGCTGGGGTCATTAGTTTTTGGAGAAAAAATGTGGAGTTTAAGCCAGCTAATAAATAGTAAAATTTAATATCTAACTTTATAGCCTTTACATATAACAAAGGAAGGATGAGTCCCTTTATCTCTAGCCAATTGGAACTCTACTGAATGCTACAAAAAACCTCCTTTCACTTCAAAAGTATTTTGGACACTTTTCTACACTTAAAGTTACTGCCAGAATGTGAGAATCAGTTATATGAGTGGAAAGGTTCTTTAAGGAGAAGAAGAAACAAAAAGAAAAATAATAATAATTTGATTAAAAGCACAAGGTAACAATAAATAATGAGAAGAAACATCTGCACTCATGAAATGAGTGTCTAATTTCTTGTCTGGTAAATGCTACACAGGACTGAAAAGATAGTGCCAAAAAGTTCTCAGAGAAAATAATCTAAAATATGTGTGTTCCATAAAGAATGATATTTCAAGGAAAACTCTTTAAAGCAAATTCTTCCATGTGTTGAACTGTAAAAAAGGTACAAGAGAAATTACAGATGAATATAAATTTCAAGACATTAAAACACAAACAAGGAATTGCAATGCATTTTAAGGGGCGAATACCCAAGTCTTCTGGAATTTCTGCAGACAAGTAAATACGAAAAATACGAAGAGACAGAAAACCATAGTAAGAATCTAAAAAGCTGAAAACAAAGTGAGCAGGAAAAAAATACTTCAGTGAAGACCTTGTCAGCAATAAGATGCCTTTAAATGTAAATGAAACAAACCCAAATGTCTTTAGAATAATTTGCATGAAGATACCAGATTAATGAAGAAATCTATGTAGACAACTTGATACTGTTCTCATGTTTTCATGTTTGAAGCCTCATGTTTTCGAAAGCAAGTATACATTCTGATGGTTAACTCAGGCTAATTGAAACTTGAATTCCAGGAGCATTAAAAATATCCATTTTCAGTGGTAGTGGTAGGTTCTTGTCATCTCAGAAAAGTAAATTTAGATCAATGATATTTCTAAGGTGGGTCAGACAAACTAAACAGCTGTTTGGAATATAACTCTTGGACACACTGAAGGTGGAAAGGGAGGAAATATTCAGTAGCAGCATCCTCCTGCTCATTTAATTTAAATGTTCCTAGCACAATCATGCCCCTCATACCTTACACAATATGAGACCTAGAACAAGCTCTAAAGTGCATTAACTATTATAAAGCTTGCAGAAAGAAAATTACATCATTTCCAGTATATAAGAGATGAAGAAACTACACAGCAATCACTGCTATTTTGCATATCTAGCTCATATTTTTACTTAGCTGGTGTATGTTCCAGTGCCGTATCTAATTGTCTGATAACCTCTCATGAAAACCCAAATCTGCTCCTTCTGTCAGTTATCAACACTCCCACTGATTTATATTGGACTGAAGATGGATGTTGTGACCAAGTGGGCTCCTCTTTGTATTTCTGACTCATAGTGAGAGGAGCAGCCAAGCATGCAATCATCTTCTCTAGACAGCAGATGAGGCAATGGGATTATTTTCAATGAGTTTTAGGTATTTACATTTAAATATTCACTTTGGAATCTTCTGTGTTTCCTTTTATTCCAGTTCAACCCTCCTTGGGTGACTGAAATAAGCATGAGATTCTCCAGGGAATAAAGCCCATCATTTTCTTTCATGCACATGACTTACTAAGATTCAGTCAGAATTTGTGTTGCAGGATTGCTTAAAGCATCCAATAGCATTGACTTACTTGAAGATCCAAGATTCCTCAGGTTGTATTAGATCACAATTGCAGCTCTGTCCTGTTGCTTTCTCATAATTCATAAGAAGATGCTGTTAAGTCACAGCAGTTGTGAATATGAATTTGATGTGTTCCTGCCAAGGAACAAGTTTTGGTTTCATGAAAAATATCTGGCTGGTATAGGCCATGAGGGTGCAACAGATAAAGCCCAGACTGCCACTGAATTACACCTAGACTCTACTTTTAGCAACCAGCTAAGATTGCAAATCTGTCTTCTCTGAAACATGTTTCATTTTGCACATTCCCTGTAACACGAATAAAATATTCCTACTTTACTCCATCTCTTCTGCATCTGCTTACTGTTACAATTTACTGATAGCCAACATTCTATTCTGAATTTACCATTGTTATCACAAGTAGCTTAATGGCTCCAGAGCTATAAGCATTTTTCAGGTTAATTGTCCTGCTATTAGTCACATCGGGAGACACTTACAAATGAGCCTCTGATTTTAAACACTAATTAAGCATAGCATCCCCTAGAACTAATTGGAACAGCTTAGGTGTTGCAGTAGCTAAAAGTGAAATATGCACCTTTCTACATTAGGGTGCCCAGAATTCTTAATCCTTGTTGGACTGGCACTGGGGACATGCTTGAAAAATATGCAAAGTGACCTGGATACATTCCACGTAACTTTAGGCATTTAGCTGAAATCCCTAAAGAGCAGTGAAAGGGTCTAGGGGCCTTTTTTTGTAAACAGTGGAGGTGACCAACACCTGCAGAGGGTGATTTAGATCTTGGTTTCTCAGAGCCATGCTGTGAATGAACATTTCTCTATTCATTCACAAGGGATTACAGGGAAGATAAGGGCAGATAAGATTCCTAATTTAGGGAATTCAATTATGTGTCTAAAGTTAAATGGGCTGAGGGGAAAATGTAACACATAATGATACTCCACAGCAGAGCAGAGGGCAGCTGGACCACTGCCTTTTGACATGCTGTTGGGCACAAATTTTAGCAAAGACTGATAAATTTGAGAGTTGATCTTATGTATTCAGGGGGACTGCTCAGTTGCAGGTTGTTGACTTCCCTGAATTGGGGCCCCTTCTTATGTAGAGTTTTTTTGCTGCTCCATCATAAATTATTATCTACTGGGTTACTGCTATCACTTTTTACATTTCCTCATCTCTATAAAGGGCTCTACATTTCCCAGGCATCACAAACACAGTATTTCTGGGGAAGATGGTATGACAGTGAGGAAGTTGTGTCTATTTTGTTTTGATGAAATAAAAATATATTCAGTGTTAGTGCCTGTGTCTGGGATATTTTGCACAATTAATACTTGAAAATGCATGTTGCTTCTATTTCATGATATTATTAATATACAGTAACATTTATCAAAGCTTATTTATCATATCTGATATGAGCAGGCACTTGTATTAAGTTGAGGAAATTTCCAAATCAAGCAGTCCAACAAGAACATATAAGAAAATACTGCTGCTGAATTTTTTATTTTCTTTGAGCTTTTTGCTAAGATATTTGGAAGGTGTGTTGCTTAGCAAAACTCTGAATTGTTCACCTTTATTTAATTATACTGTTTTCATAACAGCTGCTTCAAGAATGCTTAATCATATCTATGTCTGTTTTAGGTTTTGTGTGACATGGATTTTCAAGGAGGTGGATGGACCGTGATTCAGAAAAGAACTGACGGAATCATTCCATTCCAGAGAACATGGTCTGAATATCTGGATGGATTTGGTGGCCTTTCTGGTACTAATTTTAAATACTCTTAAGTGTTTTGGACCTGATGTTTCTGCTGTCTTTATGTCAGCTACATTTCAGTAAACTGTGTGGGATTTTTAGCAGGATAGAGAGCAAAGCTGTTTCTTAAAAGTCTTATTTATGCTTAAGAGATTTCTTTAATCAAACCTATTGTGTGATCTTCTCAATAATGACTATCACCCTACTAGAGTCTTTAGCCATTGCCCATTTTCAGTCTCACAAGAGGTGTTTGAAATGTTATTATATTTTCTTCCTGAAATAATGTAAATATTATATTTCCCTTTTTTAGCTTAAAAAACCTCAAGCTTTAGTTGGTTTTAATCATATTTGTGACATATTTCCTTAAAGCAGGAAGAAATCAGTAATATTTCAACATAGGGCATATGAAGTTGGAAACAGAATGGAAACATTTCAGTAGGTAACATCAACACAACTGTGATACTAATTTTTTACAGACACCTTCCATCCACCAAGTGTAAACTGAGTTCCTTTTCAGGAGTTTATCTGGGATTGCAGTGGAAGCACACAACTTTCCAGCTATACAAAAAAAAGCACAGCTCATATCGGGGAAATCTTTCATGGAAAACAGTGTGAGTTACAGAGGCAGCAAACCTCAAGAAAAGGGTTTGAGTTTTGTTGCATTTCACAGAATGCTAACATTCATCAGTTCTCAGTTTTATCCTTAGGAATGCTACTGAATTCTGTTTAATGAAGTGGATCTTTAGCACACCCAGGTTTTGTGGTCTTATAAGGATTATTGAAGATGAACACTTGAAAGTTATCACGTGGGCAATTTTCTAAATACGTCACAGAGAAAAAAAGATGATGCACACATAGGAATTCTTTCCATGGATTTCCCATTGAAGTATGAAGATTACTCTGTACATTATTTAGTCTTTCAAAGAAATATAAGCCTATCATTCAACTTCTATTACACTTGGTTTGGAAGGAAAGCAGAAGAACTAAAAGAATCCATTTTTTCTCTTACATTTTCCATCTCTAGAAGTTTATTGACTATATTATATTTCTGGCTTAGGGGAATTTTGGCTTGGATTGAGGAAGATTTTTCACATAGTAAATCAAAAGGCCACTAGTTTCCGTCTTTATGTGGATTTGGAATCAGAAAATGATAAGCATGCCTATGCATCATATGATGGATTTTGGATAGAGGATGAAGCGTGTTCTTTTAAGATCCATTTGGGACGTTATTCAGGAAATGCTGGTAAGAACCTTCTTTAAAGTATTTAAAGATAGCTGCTCCCTTTCTAAATGTGAAAAAATGCATTTGAAAGAGTAATACTTAAGATAACTTTAAAAATGTGTATTTCGGATATATTTTTCTCTATGTTGCATAATGAATATTATGCAGATAAATGGTTAATGATGTAGCAACTGGTTATAACATCAATCTTTACATATTAAAAAATAATTTTATTCTATTCCTTCAAGGTCTTTAATGGAATAATTGAATAAACACTCCTTTAATAAATAAAATGAATAAAGAAAATAAAGGAACTCTAATGGATTCAAAGTCCACAGATTATACATGTAACAGATAAGGGATATTATGTGTGTGTGTGTGCATGTATCTAACCAATGGTCCAGTTCTTTAGCTGTCCACTTTCCCATCCCAAATATGCTGATGTTAGTGGAAGTCTTCCTGATGTTATTGCTTTGGTTAGTTCAGCAGTGTCCAGACAGTGGCATACAAAGCATAAAGAAACTGACTGGAACAAATTAGGTCTGCAGTGTGTAACAGTTACTGGCTGATATAGAGGCACAAATTAATTCACAGTTCCAGACACCCCCCCCCCCCCCCATAATATAAATAATATAAATTATACTAAATGTGCAAAGATTTAAGTATTGCACCATGTCTTACTGCTTTTTTCTTTTTTTTTTTTTTTGCATGTTTACTAGTATGCAGTAATGTTCCTTATGACCAATGCAACAGTTATGCTATAAATGTGTTGGTGCTTTACTCTGCCTGTATTTGTTTCTTTAGTAAGACAAGGGAACCAGTCATCACTGACCTTTATGTTTTAACAATTCCATTTTACCTCATGACTCATGCTGGAGCTTTGGGCATATCACTGGAAAATCTGAAGTTAATAAGCCTTTAGCCCTCTTCATTTCCTTTATCTTTTCTTCCACTGTCTTTAAGGACAGAAGCCTTTACCTCCATGGCTGGCATGTGTCACTAAAAGCAACAACAATATAAAGATGTTTCATTGAATTTCAACTTCTTCCATACTTCTCAGCATCTTATGCATTTTCTTTCCCATATTTTAACACACTGTCAGTTCATTATTTGATGTTGTTGAACTGCTTTTGAAGAAATCTATTTTTCTCATAAATGCAGAAGAAAAGTTTGCGAGTATGCCATAAGTAAGAAATGCTTCTCCATAAATAACTCTTCCATTCATCCTTGTTTTATCTGTGGTACTTAGGTGATGCATTTAGAGGATACAGAAAAGAAGATAACCAGAATTCAATGCCTTTCAGCACATTTGATGTTGATAACGATGGATGCAGGCCAATGTGCACTATTAAAGAGCAGCCTGTAAAGAGCTGCAGTAACTTCAGTGATAACACTGGGTGGTGGTTCAACCAGTGTGGCCTTGCAAATCTCAATGGTGTTCATCGCTACACAGGTAGACTTCTTTCAACTGGGATTCACTGGGATACATGGACAATGAACAACAAGCCAATCAAAATTAAATCAGTTTCAATGAAAATTCGGAGAAGTTACAATCCTTATTTCCGTTAGGCTATGAAAATAGAAATACATCTCTTCTTGCAGTTATGTGGGATAATGTATCACTGCATTATAAATGCCTTTCATTTTCACTTCAACAGCTCAATCTTAAACTTTATTAGATATTTCCATAATACTCATTTTTATTATGAAGTGACAATATTTGTTGTGCTCCTGCTTAAGTAAGAAGGTCATAAGAAGAATAGGGTTTTCAGAAAATGATGAACTTTGGAGTTTGTCAGCTTTTATTCATAGAATCACAGAATCATAGAATAGTTAGGGTTGGAAAGGACTTTAAGATCACCAAGTTCCAAACCCCCTGCCATGGGCAGGGACACCTCACACTAAACCATATCACCCAAGGCCTCATCCAACTTCCTCTTATGCAGTCTCAGTGTCAGTGTCAGCAGAAAAATTAGGAAATGGGAATGTCATGCTGACTTTTGAAGGTGTTTTTTCTATGTTCTCTGCATATCAGAACTGACAGAAACTTTCAGTAGATTTTCATTAAAAAAGCCATATACCTGTCTTTCCCATCATTATATTTTGGAAGAATACCTTTTCTTCACTGTAGCTGAATTTCCCAGAATTGACTTGTCTTTCTATATTGCTTTTCAGGCAAGATAACACTGTCTTATTTCAACACATATGTAAGGTTCTATATATATTCTCAGGGCCTGATTTTCATACAGGTAATGTAGATACTGAAATAAAAGAACTATTGTCTGGTTTGCATATAATTTTCACAATCAACATGTTTCATAATCAGATTTTTACTCTACTATTGTCTATTTCACAATTCCCTAAAAATGAAAACTTTTTTTTCCTGAAGAAAATGAATAACATTTCATATACCCTTTGGAGTTTTAATTTTTGGATATATAGGCCTGATCTTACGTTTTTCATTCCTACTGGTATTCACTTTGTGAACAATAATATGGTATAATGAACAAAAAAACAATTTGATTTGTGTAAGTACATTTTAATTGTGTGACTTGCTTGAATTTCTGACAATAAAAATGGAATAATATAAAAAGTGTGACTATTGTCAGTACCCCAGTATTTCTGCAACCTGGCATCTGTTCTGTAACAACTAGGCATGGTATTTCTCATCTCTGCTTCAGTTTCAGTAGGTCAGCTCTGTAGTAACATGTGGAATGAAACCAGTTAGAAACTCTACGGGTTTCCTCTTAAACTATCATCAGTTCAGAACCACCATGTTTTAGAACTTCTTTCCAAAGATATGGGTAGTTACAGGAGGAAATGAAGGTTTTGATAGTGTCCACTGCAAGGTTAAGGGAGAGAAATAATTTATCTTTTCTTCTATACTTGAGTAACCAACAACTGGTGGCAAAAAGTTGCTACATTTCTCTCTGCTAGAGTGAAACTAAGGATTATCCTTATAGTGGGGGCTGGTGGTAGAAGCATGGTAGGAATCAAAGAATCATAGAATAGTTAGGGTTGGAAAGGACCTTAAGATCATCTAGTTCCAACCCCCCTGCCATGAGCAGAGACACCTCACACCAAACCATGTCACAGGCCCTGTAGAGGGATTGCAAGAGAGGAGGTAGCTAATGCTCGTGGGAGACTGAATTCTCTGAGCACAGGGAGATTTTGTTATCAAACCCTGTAGTCTTTGTAATTAGAAGCAGAGAGATAGTATGTACACCCTCTTTAGCCCTCCCTCTCACTGCAGGCTTATTAGGAATGAAATTCCTTCCAACAGCAAAATGGACCCAGCAGACCTATAACGGTAGATGGTAAAATGAAAGAGCTTCTGCACTGAGGTTAACAAGCATTAGAGCAGTATGTAACTGTTTAAAGGGTATTAATTCTGGCTGCGAGCCTGAATGTTGTCACTGTATTAAGGCTATTATGTCAGAAAGAGTCCCCAGGCTGCAGTACAACAATCCTAGTGGAGAATGCCAGCAACTAGATTTCACAGAAAATTAACAGCTTTGGTGAAAGCCTCAAACTTTGATGTTGGGACCTCTGCTCTGACACCAGGTCAAAGCTTGTGAGGAGAAAGGAAAGAGTCCAAGTAAGGAATCTGGATGCTGAGTGTACAGCTAGATTATACTGACACCCAGAGGATACTTTTGGCTTTATTAGAATTCCTGCTTAAAAGTGAATGTGTAAAATGAAGATTGTAGATCTGTGCTGGCTGCTATTACTACATTGAATTACCAGGTTCAATCTCTCCTTTGTCAACAGTGGTTTAATTAGCTGGCAGTAACAAGTCACAGAGGAGATGGGCCTGAAGAGATAACTAAAGCTTTAAGGATCATTCTTGCAAATTGACATTGGACCTTAAAGTCAAATCAAACGACAAACCTGTACAAAAAAAAAAAGGACTGAATTCTTCGTATCAGTACTGGGAGGGTAAGATTTGAATATTTATTTTTCTTTGGAAGATAAAAACATTTCCAAGGCTATTTGAAGAGACCTCTTTGAATCATAGAATAATGGAATAGTTAGGGTTGGAAAGGACCTTAAGATCATCAAGTTTCAACCCCCCTGCCATGGGCACGGACATCTCCCACTTGATCATGTCACCCAAGGCTCTGTCCAACCTGGCCTTGAATACCGCCAGGCATGGAGCATTCACAACTTCCTTGGGCAACCCATTCCAGTGCCTCACCACCCTCAGAGTTAAGGAACTTCCTCGTATCTAACCTAAACTTCCCCTGTTTAAGTTTTAACCCGTTACCCCTTGTCCTATCGCTACAGTCCCTAATGAAAAGTCCTGCTCCAGCATCCTCATAGGCCCCTTTCAGATACTGGAAGGCTGCTATGAGGTCTCCACGCAGCCTTCTCTTCTCCAGGCTCAACAGCCCCAACTTTCTCAGCCTGTCTTCATACAGGAGGTGCTCCAGTCCCTGATCATCCTCGTGGCCCTCCTCTGGACTTGTTCCAGCAGTTCCATGTCCTTTTTATGCTGAGGAAACCAGAACTGGGCACAGTACTTCAAGTGAGCTCTCATGAAAGCAGAGTAGAGGGGCAGGATCACCTCCTTCGACCTGCTGGTCACGCTCCTTTTGACACAGCCCAGGATACGGTTGGCTTTCTGGGCTGCAAGCGTACACTGAAGCCTGCTCATGTTCATTTTCTCATCGACCAACACCCCCAAGTCCTTCTCCACAGGGCTGCTCTGAATCTCTTCTCTGCCCAACCTGTAGCTGTGCCTGGGATTGCTCCCACCCACGTGTAGGACCTTGCACTTGTCATGGTTAAACTTCATGAGGTTGGCATCAGCCCACCTCACAAGCATGTCAAGGTCCCTATGGATGGCATTCCTTCCCTCCAGCGTATCAACTGAACCATACAGCTTGGTGTCATCAGCATTCTTGATGACAGGCACACTCAGTCCCACTGTCCATGTCACCAATAAAGGTGTTGAACAAGACTGGTCCCAACACTGATTCCTGAGGGACACCACTCGTTACTGGTCTCCAACTGGACATTGAGCCATTGACCACAACTCTTTGTGTGAGGCCATCCAGCCAGTTCTTTATCCACTGAGAGGTCCATTTATCAAATTGATGTATCTCCAGTTTAGAGACAAGGATGTCATGCTGGACAGTGTCAAATGCTTTGCACAACTCCAAGTAGATGACACCAATTACTCTGCCCTTGCCCATCAGTTCCAAAGCCCCATCATAGAAGACCATCAAATTGGTTAGGCAGGATTTCCCCTTAGTGAAGCCATGCTGGCTGTCACCAAGCACCTTGTTGTTTTTCATGTGCCTTAGCATGCCTTTCAGGAGAATCTGCTCCAAGATTTTGCCAGGCACAGAGGTGAGACTGACTGGTCTGCAGCTCCCTGGGTCATCCCTGCCCTCTAGGGCTATATCCCATGGAATCTTATAATAAGCAGGTTCCTGAAGAGGCCAAAGTCTGCTCTCTTGAAGTCCAGGGCAGTGAGCTTGCTACACGCTCTTCTCACTGTCCTGAGGATCTCGAACTCGACCATCTCATATCACTGCAACCAAGGCTGCCCTGGAGCATCACTTCTACAACAAGCCCTTCCCTGTTGGTGAGCACGAGGTCAAGCATGGCACCTCTCGTTGTCGGCTCCTCTATTACTTGCAGAAGGAAGTTGTCTTCCACACAATCAAGGAACCTCCTGGATTGCTTGTGCTGGGCTGTACCATCGCTCCAACAGATATCAGGGTGTTTGAAGTCCCCCATGAGAACAACGGCCTGTGAGTGTGAGGCTTTTCCTATCAGTCTGTAGAGTGCTTCATCCACACAGTCCTCTTGATCAGGCGGTCTGTAACAGATCCCCACAATAATGTCCCCCATCGCTGTTCTCCCTTTGACCCTGACCCACAAACTCTCTGTTGACTGCTCACCTGTCCCCAAAGTTCCATATTCTCCACCCTATCCCTAACATAAATAGCAACTGTCCCCCCCAGTCTGCTGGGCCTCTCTTTTCTAAAGAGCCTGTAACCTTCCATTCCAACACTCCAGTCATAGGAGCCATCTCACCCTGTTTCTGTGATATCAATGATATCATATCCCCATGGACATGCACACACCTCTAATTCCTCTTGTTTGTTCCCCATACTATGGGTATTTGTATAGAGGCATCTGAGCCGAGCTCCAAATGAAGCCAGCTCATTGGCTGGAGTGGCTGAAATAGGTCTGCATCACTGGGTGTGTTGAGATAGAATGATGCCCCTCTCCCCCAACACATCTATTTTAAAGCATCCTTGACTAGCCTGGCAAGCCTCCTACCTAAAGTGCTCTTCCACTTTTTTAGACCAGCTCCACCAGCCCCCAGTAGACCTGGCCTACTAAATTGAGTCCCATGTTCTAGATACCCAAACCCCTGACTATGGCACCACCTTTCTAACCATTTATTAACCTGGCCAATCCACCTAGCCTTTTTAAGGTCCTGCCCTTTATCTTGGAGAATTGACGAAAAGACTGTCTGAGCTCCAGAGCCCCTAACCACCTCCCCCAGGGCTCTGTAGTCCTTCTTTATGTTCTCCGGGATACTGCTATCTTTATCACTAGTACCCACATGGGTCACTAGAATTGGGTAACTGTCAGTGGGAATTACTAGACCAGGCACCCTTTCTGCAACATCCCTGATCCATGCCCCTGGTAGGCAACACACCTCTCTCAAGACTGGGTCAGGCCGACAGATGGGTGCCTCTGCCTTTCGAATCAGAGTCCCCTACCACCATGACCCGCCATTTTTTCCTGGCAGCACCAGTAGAGATCTTCTTTACCAGTGC